CAGTGGAGCTTCCCAGGAGGCTCAGTGGTAAAGAATCTGCCTGCCAATGCAGGAGACACAGGTTCAATCCCTGGGTTGGGAAGATCCCCTTGAGAAGGAAATGGCAACCCATTATAATATTCTTGCCTGGAAAATCCCATGGACAGAAGAGCCTGCTGGGCTATAGTCCGTGGGGGTCACAAAAGAGGCAGACACAACTAGTGATAAGCAACAACATTCAACCCAGTAGAGTCTGCCACCTTCTGACTCCCACAAATTCATGTCTGTCCCATGTGCAAAATATAGTTACCCTACCCCAATATCCCCAAATGTCTTAACCTATTTCAGTACTGATTCGAAGACCAAAAAGTAGTGAAAGTGTTAGCCACTCAGTTATGTCTGACTTTGTGACCCCATGGAGTGCAGCCCTCCAGTCTTCACTGTTAATGGGATTTCCCAGGCATGAATACTGGAGTGGGGCCATTCCTTCTGCCTGGGAATCTTCCTGACTCAGGGATGGACCTGGGTCTCCTGCATCGCACGCAGATTCTTTACAGTCTGAGCCCCCAGGGAAGCCCTCTAAGATGAAAACATCGTCTCAACATAAACTCAGAAAGTCTCAAATGTTATCATCAAAGCAAGCATAGACTCTGGGTATGGTCCATTCTGGGGCAAACTTCTGTCTACAGACCTGTGGAATCTGGTTCCTGATCCCATAAGATGTGGGGTCAGGAGTCAGGGGCAAGAGTGGGGACCTGTCCTGTCAGCAGTTCTAACTCTAGTATTTAGGATTTAGGATTGTGCCTGACCTCTTTTCATGCTCAATTCATGTTTCTTGAACATTGGCACAAAGGGCTTTGAGGATCAAATGAGATCATGAGGACAAAACATTTCTCAAAACTGTGGGATGAAATTAGTTTCTTTAGGCTACACTGGGCTTGTAGTGAAAATTAGACTAGTCCATAAGTAGTATTGCCCCCAAATCATCCTAAAGAAAAAGGTGGGTCCTTTGTTCTTGAAGAAAAGCAAAACTATAGGTACTATTTGATCCATCTTAAGAACTGGCTCATCCTTGGTAAAAGGCAGAAGAATGGATGAAGTGGTTTTGGAATGCCTGTCTAAGTTTACGATTTTATGTCAGCTTATAACTTATACAATTTTTTTAGTTAGAGAACTTTCTGCTTTATGTCACAGCCCAACTAATTGTCTACCCTTGTACCTACCTGTTTCCTTTCTACTTTCAACTACTCTTGACATCCAGTGAGGAATATCCTCACAATGAGACTGGCTACATAAATTTGTGGGGCCTCATGCAAAGTGGAAATGCAGGGTACCTTGCTTAAAAATTATTGAGGACTTCAAAATGACACCAGGCCAGGCATGGGACCCTTCGAAGTGCAGGACTCCCTCTGACTGCATGAAGCATTCTGCCTCCCAGCCTCTCAGTTCTTGCCACGCCTCTGCCCTGACACCTTGCGGAACATAAGGTTCGGTGAAATTGCACTTTCTTGGGAACCAGGGACCCTAAGGAGCCACACTGCTGCTCTTTGGTTCCAACCCAGGTTTCTGTTCACTCTCAGCATCAGCCTCTGGGTGGAGAGGAATCATCTCAGCATGTGCTATTTACGTGGGAACTTTATTTAAAGAGTACAGCAGCTGATCTCAATTGTACCCAGGATGGTTGGCGAGGCAAAAGTAAGCTGCTTTTTAAAAACGGGGGGAAAGTCAAGGCTTGGAGATGTTCGACAGCATCCAGAGTCCCTTAAGACAGCACATGGAGTGGAGGGCTCAGGGACTCTGTGGCTCCTTTGACCCTAAGTCTGGGCTCTCTCTGCCTAACCAACATGCCTCCTTGTGCTTCTCTTTGGGGTAGCATTCTTATTCTCTTCATCTCCTTTATGTAACGTCCACCGTGAAGTCTCAGGGGGTCTTCTTGCTTCTACCCTCCAGAGACAGCAGACTCAGTCACCCCCCCCATCCCCACAGCCCAGGTGGGGCCCACAACGCAAGACCTCTTGTGGACTCTGGCCCTGAACTCCCTTCTCCCCAACCCACCTACCGCGGCCACGCCCGTCACAGCACGAGAAAGCAAGGGAAGAGATGCAGGGTATTGACAGTTCGTGGTTTTTCTTGCTGACTGCACTTTGGTAAAAATGTATTTTAACCAAATGATGGCAAAACAGTGAGCATCACTCTGGTTTAGATGTTTGCAGGCAATTAAGTTCAATGCGGAAGACCACACTCAGACTACAATTGGCCAAATGGCCCTGGTCGGCTGAGTTCCACTGAGTCAGGATATGCTTCCAGACCCAAAGGCTGAGGAGCCCTGACTCCCGCCAGCAAGGTGACATCTCATCTCACCCAGCCAGGCTTCTCCCCCACCACCTTCTGCTCAGTCTCCTGTCTATGCAATTCTTTTCCAGGCAGGGAGGCCCAGGTGAGAGAGAAGACCCTGGACTCAGCTCAGAGGTCTGATCAAACTGAGAGGAGGCTGTCTGGGAAAGAGCGCAGAGCTTGGAACCAGAAGGTTCAGGGGCACATCCCACTCACTCAGCTTACTTAAGGGGCTGGACTTTATTTTAAAAAATCTATAGAGTGGGATGCCATATTACCTGCCAACAAACTCACACTGAGTATTAAATAAATCACATCCCATGTGAAAAAGGGTCTAGCACACCTTCTGACATGTAGAAATCATTCAGTTGTTTGGTGAATCAGAGAAATGGGAGGTTTCAGACATTGGTGTTTTTTTTTTTTTCCTCAAATCTAATGGCACAGGGCCCAGAACATTCATTTGTTTAGTGAACATTTACTGAATGTGTGTGTGTGTGTGTTTTCAGTCCCTGAGTCATGTCCAACTCTGTGACCCCATGGACTATAGCCTGCCAGTCTCCTCTGTCCATTGGGTTCTCCAGCCAAGAATACTGGGGTGGGTTGCCATTTCCTTTAGGGGATCTTCCCGAATCCAGGCTCAAACCCATGTTTCCTGCATTGGCAGGTGATCCTTTATCACTAGCTACTAATCAGTTCATTACAGTCACTCAGTTGTGTCTGACTCTTTGTGACCCCATGGACTGCAGCACACCAGGCTTCTCTGTCCATCACCAACTCCCAGGGCTTGCTCAAACTCACGTCCATCGTGTCAATGATGCCATCCAACCATCCCATCCTCTGTCATAAAATAGGCATTATTTTTTACTCCATGAGGGATTAAAAATTACCATTCTCACCCTCAAAGGGTCCATAGTCTGATGGGGGAAGCAGCCCTGTCATATCCTGTTTCTCTCCAGGAAGGATGGGAATAGATTTTGTGTTCATTATAGACACGTCCGATGACCATCCCAGAGAAGCTTGGTGTAGGAAAATGGCAGTGGCTCTCACTGTAATTTTATGAGACTTAAATTCCCAGCTATAAGACTTCTCTCACAGCCCAGTGGTTAAGAATCCACCAGCCAATGCAGGAGACACAGGTTTGTTTCCTTGCCTAGGAAGATCCCGCATGCCCCAGGGCAACTGAACCCCTGCACCACGACCAGTGAGCCTGCGCTCTGGAGCCTGGACGCTGCAACTAATGAATCTCACTCAGCCTAGAACCTGTGCTCCGCAATGAGAGAAGCCAGCGCAATGAGAAGCCCACACACTGCGGCTGGAGCGTAGCCCCCGCTCACTGCAAGCCTGTGGGCAGCAACGAAAAAAATTAAATTAGCACAGCCAAAAAATTAATTAATTAATTAAAAAAAAAGAAAAACAATTTCTGGCTACCAGACCTGCTCCACAGCTCTCTGCCCAGCCATGCTGCATGCCCTAGTGGATCTCTGCAGTTGCCCCACTTCACAGCTACTTTTGCTCCTGGAGGCTGTACTGTGGCCTGCAGAGATGGGAGCCCTGGTCCCCCTGCCCGCTATTCTGTTTATCTTTCCATTTCTCCCCACCCCAAGGAGCCTCCACCCATGGGCCGTGCTCCTAAGAGGACGCCACAGGTCCACTCAGCTTCCTCTCCCCTCAGGTTCCAACCACATTGCTGGCCCTGGGCCCCTTCAGGCCTACAGGTGGGAGCAGCTCACTCAGTCCCCCAGTCCCTGGGGTATGCCCTCCTCCAGTGATTTCTTTATGTCCCGCCCACACCTTGTCAAGCCCACCTCAACTTTCTTAGTTTCATTGTGCTATTTGTTCCTAGCCAATCTCTGACACACACACACACACAAGTACTAAAGTGTGTGCGTTCCAAGTAAGAAGAGAGATTAAATCAAAACCAGTGTAACATTTTGCAAAGTGGTTTAAGAAGAAAGATTCTGGGTGTGAGACCTGATTTTTAAAACAGTTTCTCACTCTCCAGCTATGTGAATTTGGACAAGTCAGTTAGTCTTTAGGATCCTCTGTCTCCTGGTTAAAATGGAGGTTATATTACTCAGCCCCCAGAGTTGCTGTGAGGACTAAATAAAACAAATCATATGAAACACTTAGTCCAGTGCCTGGCACACAGGAGGTGCTAAATAAATGATGGCTTCTTCTTATAATTATGAATAATATTATCAATATTAGTTATACAGAAAATCTTAAAGGATTTCCCCCCCATTTTCTAAACCACAAAATAACCTCCTATTTCTAAACGACATAGAGGGACTTCCCTGATGGGCCAGTGGTCAAGAATCTGCCTTGTAATGCAGGGGACACAGGTTCAGTCCCTGGTGGAGGAACTAAGATCCCACATGCCTTGGAGTGACTAAGCTCATGCACCCCAACTACTGAACCCGTGCTCTCCGGAACCAGTGGGCTGCAAATACTGACCGTACACACCACAACTAGAGACTTCGTGTGCTACAATGGAAGATCACGCACGATGTAACGAAGATCACATGTGCTGCAGCTAAGACCCAACACGGCTAAATAAATAAGTTTTTAAAAAATAAAAATAAATTAAGTAGACCTTTCATATTACGTAAAAATGCTGGGACGGCAGTGTTCTTGGCTAGTCCATCGGCTTGGACCCTCTTGTCAACTGACTGCTTGTCCCTGTCCAGGTGGTGATTCGCAGGCATCCTCTGGTCTATGTGGTGAGCCTGCTGATCCCCAGCATCTTCCTGATGCTAGTGGACCTGGGCAGCTTCTACCTCCCGCCCACCTGCCAAGCCAGGATTCTGTTCAAGACCAGCGTGCTGGTGGGCTACACCGTCTTCAGGGTCAACATGTCTGATGAGGTGCCAAGGAGTGCAGGGAGCACCCCTCTGATTGGTGAGCAGCCCCGGGATCACCAGGCCTTTTAAAAAATTATTCATTTATTTTTCACTGTGCTGGACGTTCATTGCTGAGCATGGGCTTTCTTTAGTTGAGGGGAGCAGGGGCTACTCTCTTGCAGAGCACAGGCTCTAGGCTGGTGGGTTCAGTAGCTGCAGCGCTGGGCTCAGTTGCCCCATGGCATGTAGGATCATCCCGGACGAGGGATCGAACCCGTGTCCGCTGCGTTGGCAGGTGGGTTCTTAACCACTGGACCACCAGGGAAGTCTGGGCGCCCATCTGGCATTACTTCTGTCCAAGATCTGATGTTGCCTCTCAGACAGGGAAGCAAGGGGCCCAGAGACTCCTGCTGACCCCACCTCCTCCGTCTCCTTCCCTCAGGGGTCTTCTTCACGGTCTGCATGGCCTTCTTGGTTCTCAGCTTATCCAAGTCCATCCTGCTGGTCAAATTCCTCTATGATGAGCGGTGCAGCCAGCAAGAGCAGACCCTCCTGTGTCTTCGAGGGGACACAGATACCAACCAGCCTCAAATGGATCCTGGGGCCCAGCTTGCTGGGGTAACAGGTTTGTGAGAAGCCTTAAAGTCTCTGTTTGTCTCGCTTCATCACTCAGCCCCAGTGCCCACAGGTGGAGCAGTAGGCCATGCATTGCTGTGTGAAAAAATGGAAACATCTTCTTAGCCTCTGTCCTGCATTTTACATCAACTCTCTGGAGACAAGACAGTCTTCTGCTGTCCCCTTAGCTAGTTTTATTTATCAGTTTGGAGCCACTGACCTCAGAATAGCAGAATGCCTGCATACACACAGGCACGCACACACACATGTGCAAATAGTTTGTATACATTTGAGTTCTAGTTGCCAAATGTGCAGAAATATACAGGTCATCCCAGTGTTCCCTTTGGCAGCACTTACACCAAAATTGGAGTGATACAAAGGTGAGTATGGCCCCTGGGCAAGGATGACATGCAGAGTCATGAAGTGGTACATATTTTTACTGTGTTCTTTAAAATTATTTATTTTTAAGGGGAATAATTGCTTTACAATGTTTGTTGGTTTCTGCCATACAACAATGTGAATCAGCCATTAGTATATATATGCCCCTCCCTCTTAAACCTCCCTCCCACCTCCCACCCCATCCCACCCCTCTAGGTTGTCACAGAGCACCAGGGTGAGCTCCCTGTTACATAGTAACTTCCCATTAACTTTACTGTATTCTTGAAAGTCAACAAGACACTTTATTTCAAAAGTTCTTATCACAAGAACAAAAATATATAACTGTGTGAGGTGATGGGTGTTACCTAGGCTTATCATGATTATCATCTCACAATATATACAAATATTGAATCATTATGTTGTATGCGTGAAACAAATATAATGATACATATCAATTATACCTCAATTTAAAGAAGAACCATTCCTGCCCTAAAGCTCTAAGTCAACGAGGGCTGTCCTACCTCAGAAAAACCTCCCAGAAGGATGTAACCTAGACCCATCACCCTACTTGCTGTGTTCTCCGGGGTTCCTTTAGCACAGGCTTGCCTCCCCTCAGTGGGTAGGGAGAGAACCCCCAATCTTCCGGCCCACTGGCCACTTTTGCCCACAACCTTCCTTGAAGGATAAGGCCATTGGCTTCTATGGGAAGGCAGGGGGAGCCATGGTGCCCCCTGGCTCACCTACGGTGTCTTCCTCTCGTGCAGAGTCCCCCGTCCGTCAAGAGTACCAGGCCCCATCCGGGTCCCTGAAGGAAGTCTGGTCCCAGCTTCGATCCATCAGCAGCTACTTCCAGACCCAGGACCAGGTGGACCAACAGGAGCTTGGGTGGCTGGCCCTCCTGGAGCGCTTTGACCGCCTGCTCTTCCAAAGCTACCTTGCTGTGCTGGGGCTCTATGCCGTCACCCTGTGCTCCCTTTGGGTGTCCTGGAGTGGTTAGTGAAGACCAGGCTTGCTAGTGCCCAACCATGCTCTCCTGGCACTTGGGGAAGGCTGAACATTTTTTCAGGAGATATTGGAAGGAGAGGAACGGTGAGTTAAAAAGCTCTCCAGCTTCACTTACCCCAGAACACACATCATCTAATGAGCTATTGAATGACCCAGGAGGAATACGCTCATAATGAAAATGCATAAACAGTGTGAGGTATCCAGGGAAAAGTAAGCCTGCCTTCTTACCCAGTTCACTGCCCAGAAGTGACCACCATTAACAGCCTCTTTCAGAAAATTTCTAAGCATACACAAACATCGTGTATGTTTAAACTGGTTTTCAAAAGGTGTTAAGAACACACTCCATCTCCCAGTCCTGTCGTGGTTACTTATTCAGTTAGTCATTCAGCGAAACTTGCATTGAGTGGCCATGAAGCCCCAGGCATTATGTTAGGCATACCAGAGAATACAGAACAAGTCAATTTCAGATCATTCTTCACTTGACTTGCTTCCTGAAGAAACTTGTTCCAACCAGAACACAAAAGTCTGTATCCTGGAGCCATGTCTGTCTCCTGGAGCTCTGGTTCCCACCATCTCAGGGGAGTCCATCTCCCCTGTGCCTTCTCAGCAGTGCATTGCTATTGGAAGGGATCCAGACCTAGCACATCTCATAAACACACACCATGCGTGAGGTGCTGAGCTGGGGGAACAAGCTTAATGCATGGCCCTTGGGAGTTTCAAGGAGTTTGTAATCTGCTATCCTTGCATTAGTCTGCTCTGTCATAGCAAAATACCACAGACTTGTGGGGGCTTGCTGCTGCTGCGAAGTCATGTCAGTCATGTCAGACTCTGCGCGACCCCATAGACAGCAACCCACCAGGCTCCCATCCCTGGGATTCTCCAGGCAGGAACACTGGAGTGGGTTTCCATTTCCTTCTCCAGTGCACAAAAGTGAAAGATGAAAGTGAAGTCGCTCAGTCGTGTCTGACTCTTTGCAACCCCACGGACTGTAGCCTACTAGGCTCCTCCGTCTGTGGGATTTCCCAGGCAAGAGTACTGGAGTGGGTTGCCATTGCCTTCTCCATGTGGGGGCTTAAACAGATGGATTTTCTCATACTTCTGGAGGCTAGAAGTCCAAGGTTGAGTTGTTGACAGGGTTAGTGTCTTCTGAGGCCCTCTTCCTGGGCTTGTAGATGGCTGCCTTCTCCCTGGGTTCTCATATGATCTTTCTTCTGTGTGTGCACATATGTGTCCAACTTTCCTCTTCTTCTAAGGACACTAGTCATATTGGAGTGGCCCACCATAATGAACTCATTTAATCCTAACTACTTCTTTAAAAGCCCTTTTTTCTATATGCATTCCCACTTGTGAGGTGCTGGGAATTAGGACTTCAACACATGGATCTGAGATACAGTTCAGCCCATAACCCTCACTTGACTGCAGAGACTTGCCAGGTCCATAATCCAGAGGGTATTCTGGCAGGCTAGAGACCCAAGCAAGAACTGCAGTTGGATGAAAGTGAAAGAGGAGAGTGAAAAAGTTGGCTTTAGGCTCAACATTCAGAAAACTAAGATCATGGCATCCAGTCCCATCACTTCATGGCAGATAGATGGGGAAACAGTGGAAACAGTGGCTGACTATTTTTCTGGGCTCCAAAATCACTGCAGATGGCAATTGCAGCAATGAAATTAGAAGATGCTTACTCCTTGGAAGGAAAGTTATGACCAACCTAGACAGCATTTTAACAGAGACATTACTTTGCCAACAAAGGTCTGTCTAGTCAAGGCTATGATTTTTCCAGTGGTCATGTATGGATGTGAGAGTTGGACTATAAAGAAAGCTGAGTGCCAAAGAATTGATGCTTTTGAACTGTGGTGTTGGAGAAGACTCTTGCGAGTCCCTTGGACTGCAAGGAGATCCAACCAGTCCATCCTAAAGGAGATCAGTCCTGGGTGTTCATTGGAAGGACTGATGTTGAAGCTGAAACTCCAATACTTTGGCCACCTGATGCGAAGAACTGACTCATTTGAAAAGACCCTGATGCTGGGATAGATTGAAGGCAGGAGGAGAGGGGAACGACAGAGGATGAGATGGTTGGATGACATCACCGACTCGATGGACATGGGTTTGGGTGAACTCCGGGAGTTGGTGATGGACGGGGAAGCCTGGCGTGCTGCGGTTCATGGGGTCGCAGGGAGTCAGACACAACTGAGCGACTGAACTGAACTGAATCTCATCCTCCTCTCCTTGGATATTTCATGGCCTTATGTGTGCGTGTGTGTGTGTGTGTGTGTGTGTGCGCGCGTGCACACACACACATGCATCTCTTGCCAGATCAATCACACACTCTTAGAACAGAAATCTTGTTTTCTATTTCTAATTCATTCCCATCTTGGCCCAGGTCCATACAGAATTTTTTTTTCATGGTAATTCTGCCGTAACTATTGCAGAGATACACACTCTAGCTCACCACTGATGGTGGACAGATTTCTAGTGTGTTTCCACAAGTCTGAGGGACTGAGTCTGCCAAGGGTCAGACACCCAGGCCTTCAGCATCCATCTCTCAGAACAGCCACTAGGAGCTGGTGGATAGAACACAGAGGACTGAAAGACAAGCATGACTCCCAACACTGCTTACAGAGGACTGTGTTTTGCTTGGAACTTTTTCCAGCACTGAAATTGCCTTTAAAAAAAAAAATCTGCCCCTCCATCCCCCCGAAGAAAGAGAATTTAAATTCAAACAGCCTTTACCTGCCTCCTCCCTCTCTCATTACCTCCCAGTTAGTGCTCAACGCCAATTGTCCATGAAATTCCACTGCTGCTGTTAATGAAATGAGGAGCAGAAGAAGTTTGTGAACAGGAAGTGTCCATGCAAACCTCCACCTGTTTCTCTCCTGGATTCCTACTTCCTGTTCCTGGCCTCCTCTGCCTTGACCTGCTCAGTTAGCCTCTAAATTGATCCCTAATCTCTCTTCACTTCCTTGGTTATTAGAGGAGGCAAAGGCTTGCAGTAAGTCCCCACTATGGGGTCTCCATCCTTTCCACCTCTGTCTTGGAGAAAGCAGCTGACTTTGCTCCTGGCTCCATCACTACCTAGCCAGGGGACCTTGAGACTGACCTCTCAGAGCTTCAGCCTACTCTGTTTGACATCAGGACTGTGTATATTTATTCTGCCCATATCACAGAACGTTGAGGATGAGAATGAAGCAATGTACTTAAGCACACTTTGAAAAATAAGTCATGTATTATGAAATAAAAAGGCCTGCCTGCTATCAGCAGATGGATTCCAATCTTGAGTCTTTGGCGTGAGGTTCTCTTCTAGCAGTCTCTATCAGAATACAGTTATAGGCTGGATTCCACAGAAGTGCCCTTGTTCCAGAATCCAAAGGCCAAGGGCTGAAGCCACTATATGCCTCCTTGTGGAGAACTTGGGTTGGGGAGGCTACCCAAGGGACTTCCCATTTCATTTCCCATGCAGTTCGCCTTGGCTTCCCCTGCCCAGGGAATAGCTGCCAGGTTCTCAAGGTCAGCCTCTCAGAAGCAGCCCTTTGGGAGCGAAGCTTGGATGTTGAGTGCGGCCCCAGCGTGTGGATCTCCTCTGTCCAACTGCCAAGTGGCCCTGATCGCAACATGGCAGCCGGGGTCGCATTCTAAGGCCTGGGTCAGGTCAGCATCCTGAAGCAATGCCATCATCAGCAAGGGGCAATAAAGCCCCCCTCCCCGAAGAGGGCCCCTCTGCAGTGGGAGGAAGACAGGGCACCAGCAGCCCTTACTTACAAAGCATTGTTAGCTCGGCCTCTCCAAGGGTTTATCAATTTCATGACTCCTGTTTCACAGAGGAAGGAAACTGAGGAACAGAGCAGAAATGGGGTTTTCCCAGCTGTGCTTGCTCCTAACATCTGCTGTTTCCCAGAATCTCAAGTCTTTTCAGCACTCACCAAGAAATCATAGCTCCCACTCTTGGAGACTTCACTGATGTCTAGAATAAAGAGTTGGTGGAGCACAGCCCCTGGCTAGGCAGTCAGTCCTCCGTTTGTCATTCTGTCTCAGGAGAACTTCCAAGGGCTTCTGCTATGATCGCCCACAGCCTCTGCAGGGGTCTCACTTTTCCCCCAGGACATCCCCACCTCTCCCCCCAGTTGTCCTACAGGAGAAGAGCCCTGTAGTTAAAGATGCTGAGCCCTTGGCCTCTTATATCTCCATGATGCCAATCTCCCAGGGGCCAGCTTGAAGCTGGATGGTTTGGACCCTCAAGTGAACCAAAGAGCGGCCCTGCGAGCCACCAGCAAAAGCTGCGCCCGAAGGCATCAGCCCTCCCCTGGGTCCAGCCCTAAGGGCTCCCAGGCCCTCTCACTTCTCAGGGATCTAATTATACATCCAAAGGCAAGGTTAGTAAAAACGGGGGGGGGGGGGAGGTTTAAATATGTACCCTAGTCAGTGGTTCTGAGGGTCCAGAAAACTTCAGGTCTTCAGGTTTAAGGTAAAGAGTTTCTCTTCGGACTCCCAGATGGTGAGTGGTCACCCCAGGGCAGAGACCCAAGTTCCTGTGTCCCCTCCAAGAAGGCGATGCCTCTCTCCCTGCCACAGGGTCCATCCCGGGCTTCTCCCTGTCCCGTTCCCTGGCTCACACGCCATCTCAGCAGCCAGAAGCTCTCAGTCCTCAGTTATTCACCTGCAAGACAGTAAGCACTTCACAATTAGCTGAGCAGCAGCATGGAGGCTTTTATGAGCTGCCACGCCCCCAGTGCACTCCGGTGTGCGGAATTGAAATGACCCACACCAGTGATGAGATTAGGGGCTGAAGCAGCCCAGCATGTCACTCCAGCCCCTCCCCATCCTATCAGGGTTGGGGAGGGGTGATGTAGTTAAGTTTGTGCTTCATTTAGCAGAGACCGTAAAGTGGAGATTGCAGCCCGGCTTTCTGCTGGCCGGGAAGCAACTACTGGGCAGTGGGTGGGCTGGGTGGCAGGCAACAGACTCCAAAGCCGGGGTGGGGGAGCCCCTTACTCACCCCTTACCTCACCTTCTACTTCTCCCCGAGCCTAGCACCAGGATCCCAAGACCTGGGACCTACTTAAGCCTTATTGGGTTTTCAATCCTAACTGGTACCACAAGGGACAGACCGAAGGTAGATGACCAGGATCAGAGTCCACTTCCATCACCCTGCTCATCCTCTTTGGAGAGCTCCAGGCCAAGAACCAGGGAGCGAGGGGCTGTGAGCCATCTTTTTTATCCCCCCTCCCTGGTCAATCTTGTTTCTCTGCTCTTCCCCATATGCGCCTCCCTGTCTATCTCTGCCCCAACTGCCTCCTCCTGGTGCTGTCTATCCCACAACGGGCTTTGGGGGCAGAAATGCTCATTTGTCCCACTGCAGCACAGTGACTCAGAACTGGCATAGCTTTGGTCTCGGTGCAAACCTGAGCATTAGCCAGAGGCTGCCTAGAGGGCTGTCTTGAGGCAGATTTTTGGACCACAGGCCAGCTCTGCGGGGAAGAACCACAGCTGTGCTGTGATCAATTAGTGATGTCTGCCACAGGCAAGAAAAGAGGAAGAGATCCAGCAGAGCTAACGTTCTGCCACGTGCCAATCACTGTGCTGAGTGCTCAGTGGGTATTATTCTAGGACCTCTAGCACGTCAGTCCTGGGAGAGCAGGGCGGTCGTTGTGTTCACTGCTGTATTTTCAGTGCCTGACACTGGAAACACTCAATCACTGTCAAGATGTGTTGTGTGAATCCCACTGGGTTCAAATTCCAGCT